AAACTATGGAGTGTAGAGTAGAAGGAGAACCATCTTATAAGGAGCGAAAGTTGAAAAAGTGTCCCACTATATACTGAAAATAGAGGTTCCAAAACCTACCACAATAGCGCTGGCGTCTGAAAAACTACGATATGAATATAGCTGTTGTAGACGGAGTGAAGTCAGCTGAATTCAAATATTTAAAAGATTTCATGACTAGAGTAGTTAGTAAAATGCCAGTATACAAAACACCAGAAGAAAGTTAGCGAATAACATTTTTTTTTAATTAAACTGTATGCCAATTAATTGCTCCTTAAATTCTCCAGCAGAATCCGAAATTGCTCCACCTCTGTTGCTATTAGTTAATTTATAATTAATTTTTAAAAATTTAAGTATCGAAAATTTAATTTTGCTATAAAACAAAAAATATCTACTTTTTTAAGTGAAACTGTATGTCACTTAATTGCTCTTTAAACGCTCCAGCAGAATCCGAAATTGTTCCACCTCTATTGCTTTTAGTTACTTTAGAATTAATTAAAAATATTTAAATATCGCAAATTTAATTTTGCGTTAAAACATAAAATATTTACTTTTTAAAATAAAACTGTATGCTAATTAATTGCTCCTTAAATGCTCCAGCAAAATCCAAAATTGCTCCACCTCTATTGCTATTAGTTAATTTAGAATTAATTAAAAAAAATAATTATCGAAAATTTAATTTTGCTATAAAACATTAAATACCTACTTTTTAAAATAAACTGTATGCTACTTAATTGCTCCTTAAATGCTCCAGCAGAATCCGAAATTGCTCCACCTCTATTGCTATTAGTTAATTTGTAATTAATTTTTAAAAATTTAAGTATCGAAAATTTAATTTTGCTATAAAACAAAAAATATCTACTTTTTATATATAACCAAGACCATAATTTTAGTGCAGTACATCCAACAGTGAACTTTTACGATGTTAAAAAAAAAGAAGAAAAATGTGTGTGAGAGCGCATGTCAAAAATTAAAGCATAATTTCTACGTCACTTGAAATGTAAACCACGGCGCTCCGTATATCTTTCTTCGTTGTTCTGAGACTCAGAAGAATAAACAGTGATCGCCTCACTTGGCTGAGAGATTAATGATCTGTTATGAAGCAATCAAGGCGTCCCTCATTGATTGCTTCATAAAAGGAATATATACCGTAGTTGCCACGCTTGGCAAGCGAATTGACAACGGCCGTTATTTTTTTTTAATTTGAAGAAATTATCACGAAGAAGCTGCTATCAATCTCTTGTGTCATTTCCCTCTGTCGCCCCTTACGACACCTATGGGCGATAAGGATAGTGAATACCGCCACTATACGGTCATAGTTAATGTGTGTAAAATGTTAATATTTTTAAGCAAAAACAATGATACCCTGGTTACACTTGGATCTACGAGCTATGCCGTAGTATACGAGTACACTAGTATAGTATACTGAACAAAATACTTATTTTAATATAAAAAAAAACAACTTTTAACTGACAGCTGCGTGAAACTGACCAAAAATTATGGTATAGGTAATACATGAATATCCATTTAACATGAATTAAATTTATTGATAGGCAAAATAGAAAATATAATTTTGTATGTTATAATAGTTATTTAATATAATTGATTTAAAAAATAACTGATATGTTTGATGAATCAACAACGAAATGATATCTGAATTATAGAACTAATATATAATTCTTCAAGATATATAAAATTTATTTCTTGGTCCAATCTTCGCGGTACGTGACATTCTTGAGTTTGTAAGAATTTAAGAATTTTACACGTTTTCTCTACTCAAGTGTATTTGGTCGCTCTCCTGTTATTTATTAAAAAATATTAAACATTATTAAAAAACCAAAAGTTAATAATACATTAAAATAATTCTAAGATGAAATCCTAGTTTATGTATGTACGAAACCCACCGGTCTCTCATTTATACTTATACTTATAACGCGTATTAAACGATGAATATTCACAAATAATTCTAAGTAATTATAGTTATTACTAGTGATTTTTCAAAGCAGAGCATATAAGAGAGAAGCCGAAAAAACTTAGTTAAAAACTATCTTCTATAATCTTTGCACATATTTTATAATAATCATCATCTTTTGTTTTAAATATTTTAATCGTTCTTATTTTAAATAGTTTATTAAAGAAAAACTATTATTTAGCATACAGAAAACCGGATTAATATCAAATTTTGTTGATTTCTCTTCGTCCTAAATGAATAGTATTTTTGTTGCCTAAATATTTTGGAATGAATCAGGTTACAATAATAATATCTACTATACCAAAATTTGCCATATCCCTCAAATATTTCCCGACGACAAATATTTATCACCAGTACATCAACTTTCCCAAATTCCCGTCATAATCAATCAATCTTAACGACAAAACTTGGCGGAAACGCGCGCAAGCTAGGAACAATTTAGATCGTAACACGGTTCCCATGAAAAAGCAGTTTGACAACATCCATATATAGGATGAATTATATGTTGAAGGTAAAACGTAGTGATTATATACTCTTTGGTTGAAGGTACGTACTGTACTCGTTTGCTTTGTATACTTTCTTTTATTTATACTTATATGTAAAAGTAGCTATCTCCTTAATTTTAAAGATAATTTAATAAATATCATATCATATCTGTACAGACTTTTTAAGCTATGATTGTACTGGATATTAAAATACAGATATTATAAAAACACTTGCAAAAATGATTAAGAACAAACAATAGAAAAACATGAAACTTCAGTACACTGCATCAAATTAGTGATTATGTCTTTGATAACGTCCGTTGTTAAATCACTAGACAGGTATGTTAGCCCTTGGATAAATTATCATATAATTGGATAAATTATCATATAATTTATCCAAGCATTAGCCAAACATCGAAAATCAACATAGAACTCTAAGAAATAGGAAATTAATTGAACCAACAACAGCTTTGTTGAGATCTGTAAATTAGTTTTATAAAAATAAAACAAAGTTATCAATATACATCTTTCATCTTTGCTTATAATCTAATGGGATAAAGTGTAATCGATCTTAAACAACACGGTGCTGTTGAAATTTATTAAAATTAAAGTATTATATGTAATCATTATTTAATTTTAGTCTTCGATATCATAAATTATAAAGTAACTTAACTTTATTTATAATTTCATTATTAATTCTCCTACTAAGGATACGGGATCCTTTGTATTAAAATTACGTTCAATAAAACTTTGTTTATCGTTACGACAATATCGTTCATATCAAAAATATTTTATGTGTGATATTAATATATTTAAGCCTTTTAATCAGACATTCCATTACCTAGTTACCTAACATTATTTACATTGATCAATTACCATTTTAAATTTAATATAAAATATTTCAACGCATTGCTTCTTATATTATATCTAGCTGACCAGGCAAACGTTGTTCTGCCCTTTCCGACGACCATTTGCTTTCCTAAAAAAAAAACTCCTGAAATTAGCAATAAGAAAATTGAGGCTCACTTATCGCGATAAAAACTATCCTATCGCTCGACTAAACTGCACACATTGTGCAAAATTTCATTGAAATCAGTTCAGTAGTTTAGGAGTTCATCGCGGACAAACATTGTGACATGTAATTTTTATATATAAAGATAACATAGTTAAGAAGAGGTTTTAAAAAAAACATTATGTTCCCAACAAAAAAATATAACTGAAAATAATGTCCATACCTTGTTTCTGTAATGTTCCAGATATCTAATTTCACAAAAGTAACATATACGCCACTTTGTTGTAACATATATTTTACTGACCAATGGTATTAGGAATCTAAATCATGGCCAAAAAATCAAGGTACACTAAAAGCCAATAAGTTCAACGTCATAGTAATCAAATAGTGCTTATTTTTACCATACTCCATTTATAGCACACTCCATCCAAAAATAAAATAAAATAAACATTGCAATATTACCAAATTACAATAAAGTGAAGAGGACTGTTTACAAGAGAGTAAACAAGGAGTATAAAACCACATTTTTCTGCTGCATGTACCAAACTCACCTGCAACGGTGACCGACTGAAAATGGTTATAATGCACTGTCTTCATAGATAAGTTAGACCCTGCTGTCTCAAAATATTTCTCGTGAGACTCGATGTCGGAGTAACCGTTTTGGGCAGGCCATGTTAGGCCATGCCTAGTCCTGACCGCAATTTGTAGTCCAATGGCTACGAAATACAAAAGACAATAAAAGATCAGGGCAGACACGTGCTTTAGCATCAGGTGGGCTAAAAATGCTGTCAAAGCCAGAATTCGACAGACACAGAAACTTTTTATTCAATATAGATTATAAATAATACTTATTGAAAGTCATTCTTTTAATTTACCACTCGATTCTTTATGATGAAACGTTATTGTAAAAAATATCCGAGGCAACTAAGGGATACGTTATGCTTACGCATCAATGGTGCGAGACGTCTTGATCGACGATAGGCAATCTGTCGCCAAAAATGAAGGCAAATCCTCCCTACAACAGGAAAGGCTCACGTCCAGCTGTAGGCTTTTACGGGCATGTGGTCATATTGTTTAAATAGATAAATAAGTTCACCTAATGGTAAATGGATGCTGAAGTCCATAGATACCTACATCCGATAAAGTGCAGATACGTTGTTACCTTTGAGGACTAAGGTGGAATGCCACATTGCTATACCTACCATAAGAAATTATGTCAACGCATTAAGCTGCTATTTTACGATGGTATTCTGAAAGAATATAGTACTTCCCCGACCGAGCCAACTTATTCGGGTCACAACGATAATATAGTTGCAGCGTAGCTTTGCCACGTGTAAAAATACTAACAATAATATACTTAAATATAATAATAATATTTACAATTAAATGCTGTCTAATTTTCGGTTTCAAATTTATTTCCACTTTTAAAGAATGATACTACAAATCACTTTCTTACAAACAATTTAATTGCTTATAACTTCAGTTCAGATAAGAATATTTACACTTTGTTATCCTAATTATGATATAATAAACTTGTGAGCCAGTCCGGTCTTGGCTGTTGTGATTTATATTCTGGCGGACTCAACGCCAACGGTGATGCGGCATCAGCGAGCGCCACTGAAGACGAAGTTTCTGTAACAGCTATACTAGGCTTTCCTCTCAAAACCGTTCTTAATTCTTCATTTTCTGCTGCTCTAGTTCTTTGTAAGTTCTCCCTAGTCTCTTTCATTTTTGAGAGTTGCTCTCTTAAACACCTATATTCTTCAAGGAATTTCTCTAATTGAGAAGCTCGAAAGTCAAAATCCTCCAATCTCTGACCAGCACGAGAATAATCTCGTAATCCCGAAAGGTCTAATAATGGGGTGGCGGACGGAAGGGCGGATTGCTCTCTCGATGGAGATGCCGGAAGGCTAGGATTACGGCGTATCCGATTGCCGCCGGTCGACAGATCTAAAAAACTACTTGATCGACGTCCAGCTACTCTTTGACAGGATTTATCATAATGCTTATCGTTAAAGTTTATAGAATCTCCACCAGAACTATTTCTTCGACTATTTAACAATGGACTTCGGCTATCGCCATCTTTCCTACGCGGAATTGTGTAAAAATAGTAGGGATCTTGTTTTATTTCATTTCGCAAGTAACTAGGAGTTCCAAGAGCGCTCATTTCTATAAGATCTGGATAATTTTTTTCACTGTCACTTCCAGAAAGATCATTATCTAAACGTTCACGAGGTCGTGAGCGTACACAAGTTCGTGAGTTGTTGTTAAAACGATTGCTTTCCGACATAATCTCTACGTGACCACTTAAAATTCCCGTCGAGGTAGAGCTCGGCATAGATTCAGTACCATCAGTTCTGAAACACATGAAAAAAAATTCAGTTTATTTTATAGTGTAACTCTTCACTCTCTCTCTCCCTCTCTCTCTCTCACACACATACACACACACACACACATACACCACATAAATTGCCTCATAAGAAGGGATTTTGCTATAGTTGCCACGTTTGGCAGGCGGGTTTGTAACCGCAGTTTTTAAATTGTTAACAGGACCTTTTACTGTTTCATTTTCGATCTGTCGCCACTTACGACACCAACGAGATAATATGGGGTAGTGAATATTCTTACAGCGTCACTATACGGTTCAGGTGTCTGAAAATCAACTATTCATGTTTTTTTTAATATATTGTTTGTTGTTACACAACAATCTATCATTACAAGTGGCTACTACAGCTACTCGATAGTTATGACCGACTTTAGAGGAAGAAGACCACAGATGAAATACCTCACAGCCTTTAATGAACACATAAATACTAGCACATAGGTTCTCTGACCACTATGTCAGTCAGTTGTCAGTAATATAGTACTAGTTTGGAAAATCTAAAAATTCACGCCTCATCAGCGTTTCATTTAATATTGAGGAAAATAATAAATTGTATTCCTGACTTTTAAAGTCTATTATTTTAACTGGTAGTGATACCTACAGGGAAAAAAATAATAATGTTCACCAATATAAATCGATTCCACAAAGTATAAAATCAATATAGGCTATATGGTACATTTATCCTTTGTCTATCAAATGCTATAAAAATATATGACAGCGCCTTTAAATTTTTTTAATAGCAATAAAAAATATAAAAGTTGAAAAACCAACTAAGTGCAATTCTGAAGCTAATAAAAAAAAACCCGGTCTCGATACAATTTTTCAGGGGGTTATCGTGACCAAATATACAAAATCAAAATCCTGAAGTCCACGTAAAATTTTTTCACATCGTTTTTTTTTTCGAAGTTTCTAGTAGATGGAATAATTAGTGTTTTCTTGAATTACGGCCATCCATATTATCGTTTAAGTGAAATATGGTAAAGATAGAGGCATTGTAATACCACAAAATTGCTTGACCTTAACGTGTCTAGAGAAAAACACGCCTATAACGCTACGCGTTATGAGGCGTGCGGTATCCAAGTCATTAAAATTAATACTTTATAGAATTTCACTGAGATATTGAAATTGCTAGTATCAACTTTGTATACATATATTTTAAACGGTTCGTTAATTATATTAGGTATGTAATGTCAATAAAATTTTGGTTTTTGAAAATCACATAACTTACATTTATTTGTTAATCTATTTGTAATGTGCTTTATAGTAATAACAAATAATAGTCAATGATCAAATATATACATTGAGTTATTACCTTATGTTATAATTGCTCATTCGTGGTATATGCAAATCCTGTTCTGTATTTCCATTAGTTCTTCTTGATGTATCAATTTTAGGTCTGCGCCAATTTCTCTCTAAAGTTGGAGTGAGGGAAGAGTCTCTATCCTCACGCCTTCCTTGACCATATCCTTCAAAGTCTTCTTCTGGATCGTGTGAAGGAACGTTTCGATAGTCCCCTCTTTTACGACTACTATTTTCAGAAGATATAGCTCTAGGTAATTCAGCAACGCTCTTAAGACTAGACTCAATTTTTTCATAATTGTTATCATGATGATTTGTAGACACTATTTGTTCATTCCACCTATCCAGTTGTCTTTTCTTACGAGTTTCATATGCGCATAGTCCTATTAAGCAAGAGCTTAATACTATAACTGCTGACACAGCCATACCCGCCATAAGAGCACGACCACCGAACCCTTTTGCTTGAGATTTTTTCTCTATTGTTAAATTTAAAATCACTTCTGCTTTTCCAGCTCGATTTTCTGCACTACATATATAAAAGCCTGCATCTTGCATATCTGCTGTCTTTATTGTCAAATTACTGGTCTGTCCTTCACTTCGTAATATAAAAGCTCTTGCAGAATTGACATTTGTTGCAGTACTATTGGCAAGTAATCGACCAGCTCGAAACCAACGAACTCTTGGTGCTGGTACTCCTGTAACTCGACAAATCATGGTCACTTCCTCACCCTCTGTACCTTTAAAATTGGTAGAAGTCCCGCTAACTTCAGGTACACATGCAAAATCTTCGATATCAAGTCGATCCCATGATTGCGACATTAAACGGGTTGGTAAAGCGCATTCGGGTACCACAGTAGCTGGAACATTCCTTCTTATCATCCAATCACGCATCGGCCTTATAGCGCATGTACACTCCCATGGATTGCCGGCAAGTTCTAGTCCTTTTAGTGATCTCAGCGGAGCCAAAACAGCTGCATGAAGAACTTGAAGTTTATTTCTACTTAGGTCAAGATATTCCAAGGATGCTTCTAATCCAATGAAACCACGTGGTTCTATTTCTGATATTTTACACGCACTAAGTGTTAATCTTACAAGATGTGGAATAGCAATAAAAGCGTCGTCCTTAATTTTTGTAATAGGATTTCCTGTCAGCCTTAGCTCCCGAAGCTCTGGTATGGAACTAAAAGTGTGTGATGGCAATGTATCTAGGCGGTTACGTGAAAGGTCAAGTTCAACTAAGTTTACGAGAGCCCTGAAAGCAAACTGGCGTATTGTTCGTACATTACAGGCAGGTAAATATAGACGTTGTAGATTCAGTAGGCCTGCTGCCGCGAAAGCGTCATCGCGAAGTATTGGTAGGCGATTTTCTGATAGGTCAAGCAACTGGGTCGTAGGGTCAAGACGTGGAGGCACAGCAGTGAGTCCAGCGCGCGCACAGAGCGCTGATTCTTTTCCGCTACGCCATTTGCACTCACAATGACGTGGACACTCAGCGCTGATGGCTGCCGCCAAAACAAGCATCAGCAACACCAACATACCACGCACCAGATCACCCTGCGCCACTCCTTGCGTCTCGTATGCTGGGCGTCATTCCCCAAGTTGAAATGGTCCTGTTAAAAAACGAATATATTATAACACTATTTCATTTAACAGTTATTTAATTTTGGTCATCGGTATTTATTTTATACGTAGAAGAGCTGTTGCTGCAACTGTTATTTTACACTACATCATTTATACTATGACTACAGTATAAATGGGTCACCATGACAGTGCACAGGACTACGGTACCGTTACAGCTTACTAAATTCCTCCGATGAACATAGACTTCTACCACAAATTACCTCATAGGCGGGGTATTTAGCATAGTTGCCACTCTTGGCAGGTGAGTTGGCAACCACAGTTCTTTTGTTGTTATTAAAAAGAGGCTACTGACCCATCTCCAGGTTTGTTTCCCTTTGTCGCCTCTTACGGCATCCTCGACATGATATGGGAAAGGATTTTCTCACACCTCCACTAAATGGTTAGCATAAAATAGTAGTACGATTCTGCTGCGTTTCGTATGGTGATTGATGAGAACTAGAAACCCTTTCTAAGTTCACGAAGTCTGCATTTTAATTCTTTATTGAAGATAAGCACTTAGTTTTTGGGCTATAGCCTCCACTTATCATCGGGTGAACTATGTTTTTTTTTTTTATAGAATAATGGTAACAAGCGAGCACTCTGTCTACTAGTAAGTGAATGCGCTAGGTCCTTAAACACCTACATCAATCCTCGATCAAGAATCAAAATGTAAACTCATTGTCACCTCTGAGGACTAAGATAGAATGCCCCGTTACTAGTCAAAGAGTCTTCGATTATCGACACACCATACAAAACACAGCAGTATTAAGCTGCTTTATTATTGGTATTCTATCATAGCGCGGTCGTTTGAATTCCGGGCGGACTAAAATCAGTTATTGGGTTTTTCCTCCGGGCTGCTAGTGGGAAAAATTCCTACTAGAAGCCCGGAGTCAGGAAGTTGGTGGTGTTTCACTCCTGTGCTTCGAAAAGCACGTAAAACCGTTGGTTCTGCGCTCGATCTCTTTTCAGTTGTTTCTGATTGACGTCATTCATTTATTGAGCTTAGATTCGTCATTAGACAATGAGAGTGAGGGAATAGAGAATTCTCTTGTGTTCGCGCACAGAGTTGGGCACTGTAATCCTCTCCTGCGCAGGTAGCTAGTCTGCGTTGAGTCTGGCCGCCGTGAGCGAAATTCGGTCTGGAGGACATTTTATTCAAGCCAAAAAACTAGCAATCACTATCAGCCTATAATAGTTCACTTCAAAACAGAGACCTCCCAAACTGGTTTTATAAGCGGGTTTTACTTACAGTAAAACTCTAACATTTAACTCACATGTACATTCGCTTACTAATTCAGAAATTTCCAACACCATAAATACACCAAATTGTTTGTAATTCTAGTGAATTCATAGGAATAATGGCACGACACGAATTATTTACACATTCTATATTTGCAAATTTCATCACGAAACGTTAAGCCTCACACGGAATTCATTAAAGTCCATGTTAGGCTTCGTGAACAAGCTAGTAGCGCCAGCATTTTACAGAATCGTGCTCAGAGGCTATAAAAATTCGTGTCACTTGCCTCAAACAAATATTTTTACACTGGTGGCCAAATTAAGACTCGCAAAATTATTTTTATATTAAGATATTACAATCTATGTAGCTTTTACCTAAGTTATTATCTTAATAAAAAGAGTGAGGATATGCTTGACACCCTTAAAGACTTCATTGAGTTATGTATTGATGTTAGTTTCAAAATGATTACTTTTTACAATTCAATCAACAATTTAATCTTAATGTAATAACAACATAGCATTATGTCATGGACATAAATTAATAACTGTAACAAAACACACTAATAAAATAAAGTTTGTCCTTATCTATAGAACGAGAATTACGAGTATGAAAGTCACTATAAACCATTAATATACCAATGTGTTAAAAGCCTATTTTAGTTTAATTTAAAAAAAATATTTCGACCAGGCGTATAGTTCAACAATTATCCTTGACATTTGGCATTAATTATAAGACAATTTACAAAAAGAGAGCCTTGACAGATCAAAAGACGGTCTTTAAAGATTACGGGAATACTAGGTAGTAGGACTCCTTTTCTGGAGTCCGTCTGGATAGGTATCACCCTCTTACTTATTTCTGAAGAATATACAGAGTCTACAGTAGAACCAGAGTGACCGAAATGGCCCAACGGATTAGTAAACTGAAGTGGCAATGGGCCGGCATATAGCTCGAAGAACCGACAACCGATGGGGAAGAAAGGTTCTCGCGTGGCAGCCTTGTACCGGTAGGCGAAGTGTAGGGTAACCCTCCACTAGTTGGAGTGACGACCTGGTAAGACATGCAGGAAGTCAATGGATGCAGGTGGCTTAGGACCGTGCTTTGTGGCATTCCTTGGGGGAGGCCTATGTTCAGCAGTGGACTTGTGAAGGGCTGTAATGATAATGATGATGATAGAGAGTCTATATAATAACAGTCCGGGAGGCATTTCATCTTAATCCACAGAGATGACAAAACATCTATGGCCTTAATTTATTTTTTATTCAATTTGGCTATAAGTGTTCATGGATTGCAGGAGTCATTTAACATCAGGTGGACTTAGTTACCCTTTTATACCGTGATGAGAGTATGGACGTCTGCGCAAATTAAGCAATGCATTAAGTCGTTGTGTGACAAGTGCACTCTGTGGTCTATAAATGTATTTTACGAACGTGTCGCGCTATAATAAAACTGTCATCATAATTTTGCCATTGCTCTTATTTTATCATACCGTAACACAGCAGTGCAAGCATTGCTGGGTGGCGGCAGAAATAGGAAAAATCGTAGTACTTCAGACGGTTACTAAGATTTAGCTTGGTCAGAAAAAGAGTCTTACCACATAATTAAGATCATAAAGTTATATTTCTTAACATAACAATTAAATTTATCATAAAAATGTCGGATATAATACAAATTAATATATACAATATTTAATAAAACTATAATAAAAAAATTAAAACTATATAACTTAATTATCATACAGTCCTACTCCCCGAGGTATCGTGCCAAGAACGCTGGCTGCCTTTCCTCGCTGAATGGCTATACTTAGCCTTTGAGCGAGAAAAGATCTAGCCCTCTTATCACCAGTAGTAAAGACCAATCGCATGTAGAGTTCCTTTAGAAACTTCACCGCACGTGGACTCCACGGACCGATAGTCTCTACATCAAATAACACAAATATGTAGTCATCTCTCAGAGACTCATATTTGCTCCACATACTCAGTTCAGCTGCCGCTGATGCCGCCCCGGCTCTAAACGAGTTACCTCTGAGATGAGAGGCCGCCAAAATGTCTACGCAAGTAGCATCCCACACTTGGCCTTTAGCTTTCTCCAAGCCATACCATATCATACCGTCTGGTCTACTGCCATCGTCTCTAAATATTCCACAAGGCTCTAAAACCGAAGGAAAATTTATAGAGACAAGAGCCCTTCGGATGAGATCAAAGAACTGTATCGTAAAAACCTACCAGCACTTTTCTTACATGAAAGTCCGTGGAGCCCAAAATATCGACGTTGCTACCCCAGGGGCACTGATGGGGTTGACAAATTGCCGCTCCTAATCGGATTCCTACGGTAATGCGCAAGCTTTCCCCATCAAGTAATGTGCCGAGATTACTTGATTGTAAAGCGTGTAACCAGTGACTAGATTCCTTAGTCGAAGCAGCTAGATGGCATACCTGATGTTGGTCACTATAGAAATTATGAAACAAATATTTCTGCATACTCTGTACCAACGTAATATCCCACTGTTTTTGTTGGTTAACCTTCCAGTGAAACATTCTAGTCGGACATGTCTACCCTGCCTCCGTAGCAAAACACAGGTCTACTTTATTATTTTAAATTACGTTGCATAAGTCATTGACACTATGCACGGAAGCAAAGCAGGCAATGCAACGCTAGAAAGATTTCTCACACCAATACCACCAAATTTTATATGTATATAGTAGAGTTTATAGCTTGAGTCCAGGCTGTTGTATTTAAAGTTAAATTTGGATTTTTTTCTATAGGTATTTTAAGATTATTATTTATTTATTTATTATAGTTATTTATTCTTTATTGCACTAAATGTTTGTACAAAAGGCGAGTTTAATGCTATATGGCATTCTCTACACTTTGGGTAGAACAGAGAGTGAGTTTGGTCAGTTAAGTAGTCATGATATAAATCAGTTCAAATATATACATGCAAAACATATATAAAATATACACATATATATAAAATTCACATATATATATATATGAAAGAATTTGACATAGACCCAGAATGATGGAGAGGAGTGGACAGGAATAAACTTTGTGAGGAACGGAGATTGAGATAATGAATGTCACTAAGGAATTGAAATCTTTCTTTTAGATAAAGGGGCGAGGAAGGATCATTAAGAACTGAAAACATAGTGGACAGGATTCGGAAATCTCTACGCTGGCGTGTAGTCAAACACTTTAACTGAGAGCGAAATTTTGAAACGTGATCATATTTACGCAGGCCAAAGATGAATCGGATACAGTTGTTAAGTAACCTGTCCAACCTGTTTAGCAGAAATTATATTACTCGTATCAATATCTTTTAAAATATCCGAATATTTCCAGACAGGACTCGAGCGGAGTAAGTATATAAAAGAGAAGGAGACGTCTCCATACATTCTTGAAGAAGAAAATATTTTAAAATAGTAAGAGCAATGTGGGGGTTTAAGTTATATTGTATAGTGGTTTAAAAACTGATAAAGTTTTGTTTTTAAAACAGATATAATACTATAGAAAAACAACGGGCACCTAAAAGGTATAGCGAATCCGTACTGACAGTTTTTATTCCTGGAGTAATATTATTGAGTGTCTCTGTTAGAACTAGATAAATTATTGGATATTTTTCACATTTATTACTATTTGGTTCAAGGCCAATATTTTTAAAGTTTCCAAAAATATCAGT